CTATAGTGATCGCTTAATACTGAAACATATAACCTTTAACATACGTATGCTTTACTAATTTTTTTTAACTATAAAAACTGTACTAATAAGTAATATAGTAGATAATAGTACTTTATATATATATATAGTTTTGATTTAATTATAATAATTTTAATTCTTAATATTTTCTCTTAAAAATTATAGAATAATATAGTAAATATATCAAGAATACTAGTACCAAATTTTTATATATAGTTATAATAGTAATTATTGTAATAAAAAATTCGTAAGTTATAACTATAAACTCTGAATTATAGAAAGTAGTAAAATTAGACTTAAAATCGTATTCTTAATAAGTAACTTAATACTTAACTATTAATTATATATAAAAATATATAGTAACTACATATAATATAGTACTTATTCTAAAAATTTCAGCTACAAATAATGTCTCCTTAAATTAATATTAAGTGTGTTGTGTGTGGGAAAAGTTTCTGTTCACTAAATCAGTGCTGATCATCAAAATTCTAACATTCCAACACCAATATCTCAGCTTCAACTCTTTTTTTTTTGCTCAAATTTCGTATTTAAGTTATATTTACTGTAGGCTACCTGTATGTAAAAAGTCAAGAAATTTTACTAAGAATTGAGGGAGGTATTGTACAACTGAGCGTTAACTGGTAACTGAGCGCGAACCGGTGAAACACAGTACTTGTAAGGAATCCCTCAAACCCAGGAATCTGTCGCATCTCATTAATTATGTGTCCTTGGTCACTGGAGAGTTGCTTCTTCAGCTTCAGCCTCTCCCCGAAAATTTTCCGCCCTTTATGTACGTCCAGTACAGATGACCCAATCCGAACCACAACGGAATCGGACTGCGGTAGAGTAGATGATGTTGCAAGGTTCCCCGGCTGCCAGCTAACATCCTTGAACCTATCAGCTGACTCTCTATTTGTTTCTGCAAGGCGATTCAGGGCTGTCCTAAATCCACGCATCTGCAACTAGAGTAAGTCCCTTCCTTGCTCAAGCATCTCTACAGCCTCTTCAAGCCTATTTGTACGGTATATGCCACTATATCCAAAGTGATTATTCTGTAGTCGCTTTTCTCTTTGAGGAAGCCATGCTGTGTTTGTAGATCAGGACTATCAATGACGGCACGATGTAGAAGCAGTACTGCCGACCTGTAAGCTCTAGAAGCAATATGGTGAGCTTGACTCCGGGCGAGGCAAGAGTTTAACAGGCAGATCCTAGACGGGTACCAAGCCAGAAAACTCATGCTTGGCAGCACAGTCAAGTAGCTGCATGCTCTCTTCAAAAGCGTCGATGAGCCCATATCTCTTGAATAGAAGAGCAATGAAGATGCGAAGTTCCTCAGTGACGGCGAAAGTTCAGAATCACCTAACCCCAGAATGATTAGAATGGTCGTTGAGTCAAAGTCTAAGGGCAGCATGATGATGCTGAATAGTCTCTTCGAGGTCTGCAGCCTATCCACACTCATGAAATCGAATTTCTAGGGCATTTCCGAGGTGGTTCAGATAATTGGAACATTCCGGATGGCCATCAGGGAAAAGCTCCAGGGCAGCACGATGATGTTCGATGGCCTCCTCTAGGTTCTCTGTTCTCATGTATCGCTGAAACCGAACGCGAAGCCATCCAAGTTTGTTCAGTGTAATAAAGCGATATAACCTTCGACAATATGAATAGGCATGTCGAGTTCCTCCCGTTGCACTGATTGGAGAAACCGCTTCCGGTGTTTATAGCCCAGGTCGACGGATACACGATAATAGAATACGAGACCGGCTAAGTACTCCATGTCAGTACGGGGTTGCTGTATCACTTATCAATAATTGCACCTATTTTTGGCTGATATATGGGTTCAGTGAGATGGGAAGAAAGCAAGCAACAAGGAATGCATTACCATTGAAATCCTCCTTTGTCACCGGAGGCTTGATCGTGCTGACGTTTGTCTTCTACAAAGGACTCAGAAAGTCTTCCTTCAGTTCATGTCGAAGTGCGTAAGGTAAAGGGATCAACCTAAGAAAAGGGATAAACGGCCAATATTTACGTGCCTTTCACGGCAGTGATCTCGGGAAGCCAAGGAGATACGATCTCTCGATAAATAAAACGAAAAAAACATACAAAATAATAAAAACAATGACAACTAGCTAGCTACCCAAACAACAAAGCTCTTCAAGCGCGAGCAATCCGATACAGGGAATCCACAAGGCACGCTGAGACGAGTCTAATTCTCTCTAGAGACCGAAAAAGACAGGTTAAACCCGAAGATGAGACAAGGACAACTGTGTCTTTACGCCTCAAGCATAACGATCTCCATCGTTTCAAGAGTCTCGACTTTCGGCTGCTGCATCGGCTGCGTATTGGAAGCAGTGGAGAAGAAACACCGATGACACAACCACTTCCCTGGATCCGTCGGCGCCGGGTGAAAGAATGGCGAACACTCCGTCTTGCACTCGATACACGCGGGATTCTCAGTGAACATCGGCTCGTCAGAGACATACGATGAGGAGTTGTCGTGTGAATGGAGTTGGAGGAGTTGGTCGAGGCGCTGGGCTTTGCGTAGTAGACTATGTGTCTGATCGACATTTGCTTGCTTGTACGTCCGCGCATATACTTGCAGGGCCGTCTGGAAGAACGATTAGAACGACCGTATTCCTGATGCATTTTGTAAATACATTACCTCGCCGACATCGTTAGTGTCGCAGATGTCATACGTGTCTCGGCGGTAACTGCTGTGGTCCTTACAACAAATGACAGCGTTCATAGCGCCAGTCTCTCGCCTGAAGGTCACCATGTTCGTCACATCTCGTCGGGAACTCTTCACCTATTCACGTGAGAAAATTAGAAAGTCCAAGGATCGAACAGAAGAAAGTCGACACAAACCGGTTGGATTTCAAAGCCGAACTTGTGTCCGTACTTCCAAGCACAAGAAACATGATACTCTTTCGGGCAGTTTCCGCATCGCACAACGGCCCCACCGGGCATATTGCACAAACAGCATTTCTATTCCCTCGTCAGATCACAGATCAAGAAATCAATCTAATCAAGCTCACTGTTGTCCATCGATGCTTCGGAATCGTGCTAATACCCTCGACCATGCGCAATCGCGTCGCGTCGGAGAACTGCACCTCGGGAATAAACACGGAACACAAAACATGCACCCAACCTTGCCCTTCCGTTGGCTTACACGCACGCAAATAGGTCTCCCACGGGGGCGTCCCATTTAACTTTGCATTCTTCGGCACACGCGGACAGAGCAGGCAGTCCGTATTCAGTGAATATTCCAAAGACTTCTCGTTCTCGCACAGTTCGCATAACCAAGAGTCAACTTGATCCATCTCGAGGACGGCTCCACATGCGCCGGCATGCAAAGTGACACCACATCCACCGCATTTGAGTACTTTACCAAGTGCTCCATTGCGGTAACATGAGAGGCAGCGGTGTGATACGGCTGTGCCATTGACACCTGGTGGTGGGGTGGATTTCGTACTCAAAGAGCCAGTAACCTGGACAAGGTCGCATCAGAAAAAGTTGCGAATCAGCTTAGAGCACAAACCTTGGTTCGCTTTGCCGTTGGCGCACTCAACGGGGTACCCTCCCTCTTCTCCGCACCCCGGGTCTTCGCACCAGGAAGGACGTTCACTGGAGCGCTAACACTCGCACTCATCGCAGATTCTTCGCGTGTAGTTGGCCGTGCATTCAAATCTGCATACTTTCGCCAGTTCACACCACAGTTATCGCACAAGATTGGTGTCGCAAGACCCTTAGGTGCCTTCCACCAGACGCGAGATTCGCGAGTGCGACATGCCGCACAGTAGTTCGCGTTTCGTGCACCTCCTTGAGCGCTGGGTGGAATGTCGACAATGGACTGGTCATCATCGGATACACTCGAACGCTGCGCTGGAGAAGCAGCGCCGGATCGAGGAATTTTTGCTTTCTTGTACGCGTCAGGCTCTCGCAAACGTGCATTTTCCTCTCGAAGTCGGGCGCTTAAGAGAGAACGTTAGAAGATAGAAATTAAAATGACAAAGATGCCTAACTTCTTCCATTTGCCATAGAAGCGGACCACCTCCGGCATAGAACGTGTGCCTACTTCTTCCCGGACCGAGCGTAGCTCCGCACCGAACTGTGCAATACCATCCTCAAAAGCAGCAACTTCTTCATCGTTCCATTCCCTGTCTGTGTAACGAGTCTCCTGTTTCTTCCACTAACACCCGAATGTTATTACATGCAATAGACGACAGAGTAATAAGTATTACCTTCTCAAGACGCAACGGCGTCTTCATTGAAATAGAGTCAACAGCCTTTCCATTGGAGTACGCCTGACTAGTTTTGCGAACTATCTCTGTCAACCAGTCTACAGAATGGATCTGGTCCTTTCGCACAACCTGTCTCTGCATCACTCTTTCCACTTTATTCCAATGAATATCAGTTGGGAATTTCTTTCAGGGCCAGAATAACTCACATGTCTCAACTTCAAACCATATCGACATTAGCAGGTATCATACGAATATACATGAAAGGTAGACGTACGCTCTTTTGAACTAAACTCATTAACAAGACCTAAAACCTCGATAGTCGAGTCCCCTCCACGTTCCTCAATCTCTCCTATAACTGCAATAAGATCGATACGAGAAGAGTTCAGAGAAATGATAAAGATACTTGAGTTGAAAGACATACCCGCACTAGTCACTACAGATGTAGACGAGCCGGAAGCACCAGTAGCAGGTGGGGCTGTCTCGCCAGGAGCCAACGGCACTGTCACCTGGTACTTCGGTCCCACACGCGTTGCTGCTCGGGGAAAGATGAGGTCATCTGGATCCATCGTATCTTCCGCAACAGTATACAGCCTTATTATAAACTTAGCATCGAACCAATAAGTAGAGTAGTAGAGTAGGCCGCACCCAAAATATCTAAACGGCCACAGCTTATAGTGTTTGACTTGTAGCTCTTCCTCACTGTTCGCATTGATGAGTCCTGTGCGTTCCTTGCGAGGACGTCCACGTTTTATCTTTGAAGTACCATTTGCGCCATTCTTGGGTGTTCCCTCACGTTGCTGGCCAGGAGCTTCACGAGAGTCAACCTGGTCCTCGTGTCGACGTGAACATGGTGCACATGTCCAACCATATCCACGCGAAGGTTTCGCAACAAGTGGAGGGTTTACACAAGACATATGGAAGTGGCATTTACAAGCGGCGCATTGAACCGCGTCCAAACTGACATTGTTGCTCAGAAATACACGGGAGCAGAACCATGTATATTCAACTTACTGTGCGCACCACTCTCCGCACGTTTCACAAAGACGGAGTGAGTCTGTCAGGTCTGGAACCACTTCTTTCTCTGCTACTACATATTCATAGCGAGAGACGAGAACATCTCTGATATGAGGTGGCACTTGAAAGAAATTAGTAAGTTAAGATAATCATCAATAGTAAAAACATTACACACAATTTCTGATATCTGTTGAAAGGAGAACCTCAAACTCCTTTTTAATGTACGGGTCGAATAGCCTGTGGAAATAAAAGCGGTCGGGCTTGCGTTTCCAGTCCGCGAGATTAGCAAGCTTGTCTCGGTGAATTACGTAGCACTTGGCACGAAGCTGGCTGAGATCGCATATCTCGGAATAGATTGCAGCAAGAAGAAGCCTTGAGTCGGCCACGTTCCGGTCGGAAACATCGGAAGGGCGATAGTACCACGCGAGACGCACGCGCGTATAAGTCTCACGGCCTTTTCCTTTTTGTACTTTGAGCCCATTGTTATTTGTGGATGACGACGACCCCACGGAGGCAGACTTGTCCTCAGGAGGGAGAAACTCCATAATCCGCGCCACGGAGTAGGGTGTTCCATCACGGATGCTCCAATTTGGACTGCAGTACACATGATCTGTTTTGGGAGAAGCACGTCAGTAAAAGGAAAAACTCGGCAGAAAATGAAATATAAAATGAATAATCACCGTTTACTTTAACCTTGTCGCCATTCTTGAGTGTAATAGTGATTTCAGACGACTTTGGTTCCATGGTACAGGGAAGCAGAGTGCGGAAGTCGGAGAAGGAAGTGGGCGACTTAAGAGCGAGTGAACCCTAGCGGGAAATGAATGAGAGCGAAATGATCTGCGGAATGCAAGCTATTCCAGGCCGAGTCGTCCGAGACAGAAAACCCAAAGTACAAAATACTACTGAGGCAAATAGAGACCTTCTAGCTAAAAGGAAGGGCAGATCTTCCAGAATGAGACGAGGTGATGTGTGTGGAAGGTAAGCGTCAAATAAGGGTCCTCAAAATCACCGAAATTCCAGCAGGTTCGAACCCAGCCCCCGCCGAAAGAGGCTCGAGTGGAGCAGGAAGGGTGTCAAAAAATAAAATGCCAAGAGTGGCTGTAGAGGAAGATGGAGGGAGGGAGTGGCGAAGGATGCCGGGGAAGAGAGAAGTAGTGAGGGGAGAGGGAGATGATGGGTGTCAGAAAGAAAGGAGCAAAGCAGGACCCACAACTGGCCAACAGAATTCGTCTCGCCGCTGAACCACAGCCATAATAACATACTCTGGTTACATCTTACTCATTTGATATATCAGATGCCCTGCACACTGTCTGCACTCTCAAATAATGTACCCATGATAATTACAAGTACGGTGTCCAAGTGATTTATGGAGTTTTGTGGCGAAGCGCTGCGTCTGAGTGATCTCTTGTCGTTGCATGCGAAGGACTGCCTTTTCCGGCTGACAACGCTCCGCAACCAATCCCAAGCCGATTTCCCGTTGTCTTTCATACTCAATCAGCCCATTTTTTCACAGTATCTGATAGTTCTCTACCATGCGTGCATATTGCATAATTTTCTGAGCTGGAAAATGATTAAAAATGACCTGTTTCATCATTTCTGCGTGTTTCCCAGTGTATTTTACCCTGTTGTGCCGCGCGGCTTGTAAAGAGACGTCCCGAAGGGCCATCGGATCGATCCAATCCATGGCCCATCCATACCCTCTCAATCATACCCCCAAAAATTCATTGAAATGCTGCAGTCAAGCTCCTGTGATGCTCAGAATGTCGAGCGCGATGCTCGGCGTCGCCTTACACCGAGCTTCCCCGAAAGCTCCGCGCATCTCATGTCGCTTAGACACACGCCGAACGCAGGTTTCGGCGTGTTCGCCACATGCTCGATTCCAGAGAAGATACAGCTCCTTGAAAGTGCTGGTCCTGCTGTCTACGTGATATACCGAGCCTTCCGCAAGGAGGTCTGCGCATGGTGTTTTAGGTACGAGCGTGGACGAAATTGGAAGGTCCGATTTGGAGGTGAAGGCGGGAATAGGACTGGTAGTAGTAGTGGATCAGGAGGTCTAGTATTCTGCTGTGAGGAGTGCAGATGTAATTGGAAGGAAGAACATGGAGAACGTGGTGTGGAAGCTTATGCTGCTGTGGAGGGTTTCGCGCAGAGACAGGCGCGGAGTAAGGGATGGGCGAGTGAGGATACACAAGAGGAGGACGACGACAAAGAACCAAGTAATGAAGACATTGAACAGGTGTGTACAGAAATCTAATGCAAATGCAATGCCTATGTAGTGCAATGTCGTCTTGTTTCATGTCCAGCGATTGTGGAAGATAGTAGACTCTTCCGTCTCCGATCGCATCGAGAAGTGCCAATCCACCATATGTTCCGAATAGAGCCATACTTTCCCCCTAATTATTCAATGCGCTAAATCATTTTATCTGTTCTTTACTAATGTGCTATAGGCTTGGGAAGCTGTTGCAGAGCAGGCAAGCCTCATACATGCAGCTCGTTCTGGGATATCATCAGAGGCCCTGTCCGGAAACCACATCACTTCTGTGGCCGACTTATCAAATGCAGATTCAAGTCCCAAACCCTCCAAGTCTCAAAAACATGCTCTCACACAGTCTCTCAACCTTCCGATCCCTAGTATCGACACGCTCTTTTTCCTCCTCAGCGGCGTCCTTTGTGCCTCGTCCTCGCATTGGTCTACACTTCTCACACTCAATCCTTCCCCTAGCGCGGTCTACATGTCCATGGCCGCGCTCCGCCAAATAACATCGACATTCCTTCACCTTACTGCAGTCCTTCCACCTTCACTTCTTCCATATGTAACCCGTGCGACGCTCGAGGCCGTCCTCGCACGCGACGTCGGAAACAGCTTCGGTATTTGGAGCACTAGCGTTGAGTCTCAGTCAAAACCTGAGTCACAACAGGAGGACGGAGAAGATCCAGAGATGCTCGGTTACGGAATTTGGCCTGTCGCTTCGTTCTTCAATCATTCTTGCAAACCGAACGTCGCTCGGCGTCGCATCGGCTGCCGGTGGGTCTTCCTTTCCGCAAGTGCCATTTCCGAGGGCGAGGAACTGTGCATCAGCTATATCCGCGGTGAGGAAGATGTGCTCCGCTTAGATGACAGACGAAAGCGCTTGAAAGACGCATGGGGCTTTACATGTCGGTGTCAGAAATGTTTTCAGGAAGAATTAAATGGAAGACAGGACAATGATCAGACTCCAATCAATCCATAGATTTACATTGTTTTTGCTTTTATTTACATTGAGTAGTCCCTTCAGTTATATCTCGTCGAGCTCGTCCTCCAAGTTGACAGGCGGGAAGTCACCAACCCGCACTTTTTCTGGGCGCACGAAGCCACCATAAGGCGCTGGACAGGAAAAATAGCGATGTCCATCCACCCTGAAAACTTGTCAATGTCCAGAGAGATAATTAACGATATCAATCACGTACGATCCATCGTTCTTTCCTACGGGCTCATCGTACTGCACACCAACCCAGGTACCCTTCTTCGTACCAAACTCAGTTGATCCAATAAATTGAACAATCCCCCGTCTAGCGATCCCACCCTCCGAAACGGGTTCAACCTCGCAGCGCTGGCCTATTTTGATGCCGACATTCGCCTCCGATGATGAGGTTTCTTCGTGTGTTTCGGATTTTTCAGGTTCGGAGAAACGCCCAAGTCTGTTACGTTGTTTGTACGCGAGCACTGTGTCGCGACGCGCTGCGTACTCAGCTTCGGAGAGCTCGAACTTCTCAACTTGTGAGACATCCGTAAATTGACCTGTAAGCGATGCTCCAGGTGGACTCGTATCTTCCACCTATATAAGTTCACAAAATACGGTTAACTTTCAACTAAGAGTAAAGTTTAATTGGGTGTACGAACTCTCAACACCTGCCAATCATGTACACCATAGAATCCAAGCGGCCGACTACTGTCATCTAGTGTAGCGACAACAGTCGAGTCTTCTTCAGAGTTATGCAAGGAGATGCGTTGTGCAGAGGCCGGAATTCCAGTCACCGATTCTAGCTTTGCTTTTAATTGCTGCACTGTTGTATGTAGATCGAAGCGTCTTTCGGAGCGGGTGTCCAGAGAGACAACGAAGACATTGACCATTCCAGACATACAAGGACTATTGGTAATAAGGTTTTGATTTAAAATGTCGGGTCAAGAAAGGCCTGAAGGTGGCATGGAGGGGTTCGAAAAGAAATAACCTTTCCCTGTTGGATAAATCGAGTGAGATGAGGTAATGGAAAGTCGTGAACCACGTGTTTGTATCACGTGACATATATTTAAAAGAAGTCGCACATGGGCATTTCACAATTTCTTGCCTTAAGAAATAACTTACATAATGAT